CAGCTGTCCATTAAAACCTCGGGCTTGCAACCATAGTTTTTGTTTTTAAATATATTGGACAGTTGTTGAGATAATTGTTCACGATCAGAACTTTTCAGCCACCCCACGTAGTATCAATCGCATTCCGACAAGTATCAAAGCAACAGCGTTTATAGTCGAGTCGAAACAGTGGCGTGAAGCGTCCATTCCTAACCACATACGTCAGATTGGCATGATGAGCTTTCTTTGTATTTAGAGCTCTTACAAAAATAGGACTATGTTGTCGCCACGTTACGAAAATATTCACCATTATTGCTGTCATCAACTTCCATATCCAACTCGTCCGTATACTACATCTGTAGACACTTCATCGAATGAACTAACAATTCTGTAGTAGTGTTCAATCCCTCTCGCGTTAGCTTCTTAACCGCAAAAAAAAGTACTCACTCTGATAAGCATGTCCAAAAACCTAGTAGGTACATTCCTCCAATCGCAATATATCATTGGGTTTTGAATGTGCATTAACAGAAAGAGTAAAAGCGCAGTACTTTTCAAGATAGTCAAGCTGTTTTGCTGAACGTCAAAAAAGACTGATTTTCTGTATTTGTCCACGCAGTAAGCTGTGAAGTCAATTGATAGTAACTCATAATTTTTATGATGATAAAATATAGCCCAAGCACTCGAAATATTGCTTCTTTGTATTCTGGCAATGGATATCAGGATGGCTTTTTTCTACTAATTTATAAGGTAACCTAGAGAATGGGCACCTTCCGATTCCACGTTTAATCTGGAAGTAACAGGGATGTTGGCTTCAGCATTCACGTTCTGGCTTGGCTGAATTACAATATCACTCGAGACCATGCAAAATAGATACACGCCGGCTATACCTGAAAACCCCGAATAGAGCGTATTATGAAACGGAAAGACAGTGTACAGTGTACAGTGTATAAAATTACAATGATCATATTTAACTGGTACATGGTCAACAAACCAAGTCAACAGACCAATCGCACAACCAAAAAACATGGCCACAAACCAAAAAACATGGTCACAAAACCAAACAATGATCATGGGGTATATTAAAAAAGTAACGTTTTTCGGTGATCCCGATCCAAAATATTATATATTTCGGTTTCTCCTCAACTAACAATCGCAGACTCTTGACCCGATATCAGTCCTAATAACGTTGATATAATTGATAATGAGCGAACCTAGCAACAATTACGCTGGATTTTATAACGCTGTCGAGGGTTTTGATTCTAATCAAATGGGTATTAATTTGCAAGCCGAACCTCCTACCCAGACTTTCCGTTCTCATGCTACCTCTTTGCCTCTACACAGTAACGTCCATATGAATACAATGCCCTACGAAAATATTGGAAGTCGTATGACGTTATATCCCTCAGTCTCTTATTACGGACCGCTTCCGGATGTTGACGTCTCCATGAATGAGCAGTTAAATATACCGAGCCGTAATCAAGTCGAAACTCACAGAAACAGCTCGTGTTCACTTTGTGGCTCTTCCAATGAATTTTTTGGTACGATCAAAAGTCAATCTATTGTGCACACCTTTACGCAAGTACGCACACAATTCAACGAGCCCGAATATGCAATTATAAGAGAAGTGCGAATTCAATTGGTCTTAGGCAAGGTACCAACTAAAGCTAGCTTTGGCCAAGTGATGGCTTTAACTCAACAATGACGGAATAATTTATGTACTGTATGCCAGTGTCTCTGTAAATAATAATATGGCATGTCTTTTTTAATATTAGATAACGAAGTTTTTTTGTGAAAATTTTATTTTATTATAAGTATTTTATTAAAATAGTATTAGCCTTACAATAATCTATTGCGTTTGTCTTTCCATGTTGATTAACTCGTATGTTGAATCATAAATACTCCATAAATACGATAGAGTTATGACTGCTATGTTTCACGCATGCAGAGTTAAAAACCAGCCAAACAGATCCAATTTAAGTAGATTTGTCGTGAGTCAGCAATTGCGAGTGCAAACTCTTGGAATTGACTATCTTTCGAAATAGCTCTGACCTCTCTTACTTTAGTATATACAACGACAGTTAATAGTTTTATCACTCACGACACCGTTTCAGTAGACACAAATCTCAGACAATCTAGTTCATTTTCCAACGAGATCAACGCGGCAGCTTGCACAATTGTATTTACTCAAACGTACGTCTCATAATAAGCGAGTAACAAACGTAATAAGAGAGTTTACTGTATGTCATTATTATGGGTTTCGTGATCTCTGGATAATGAATGCGCATTAAATTTGATTAGTCCTAATTACAGTCTGCAACAAAACCAGACAAAGTGAACATTTGACTATGTGACATAAATGAGAGGCTGATTATGATGTGGCTGTAAAATTGACCAGTGTGACTGATGACGTTTTGAAGTAAGAATGGTGCTCATGGACTTGTTAATTTTAATGCTCACTTTATCATACCAAAAGGTGATGAATATGATTAATATAGGATTACCTCTATATATAAATATCTTAATATGAAACTAATTTACATTAAGTCCACCATGGAACCAAAAAATTACAGCACCATTAGAAGCATTCTAAAGAAAGCTCAAGGAGAAAAAATTGCGCCTTATGTTTTAAAATCAATGACACCCAAACACTCCAGGAATATCTAGATAAAGAAAAAATCACTTATGAAATTTACCAGGCAGAATAATATCGTATTAGAAATAATGAGTAAGTATGAAAATTAATAAACTTTCGGAGACGATGCGCAAAAACCGTTTGATCGGCAAATCCATTGTTTCAGGTAAACGTTGACAGCCTTAATAATACTGTGTAGCATAGATTCACTAGCGCGACCAAAGTATAGGAGTACTCATCAATGGCTTTGGGTCCGAGTATTTCCTCCCATGCAATTGCTCTAGTGAATATGCAAAAGTACTGTACATACTTTGTTTAAGAGAGTAATAAAGAGAATCGATTGTTGTAACTATTAAATTCAATTATCCATTATCATACGATTCGTTACGTAAAAAACAATTTGCTTCACTTCCGAAAACAGAATTGCATTACGTAGTACAGTCGACCCTCTCTAATATCAACCTCACGGGACCGGCCAATTTTTTGTTGATATATGCGGGGTTGGACATGACATCTGGCCAATAAAAAGGTTCACTATGCTTGTGTCCGATGGAGTGCAAAATTTAGCTTCCTCATCATGGATCGTATCTAAAAAAGGAAAGCACTAAGGGGCATTACTTTATTTATTTATTTATTATTTTATTATTTATTTATTTATGCTAATACGTATATCAAATGCATAACTGGTACAACGTTTATGCTGACATGACGTCTTTATAACTAATCACAAAGATCAGTGCACAAACGTAGTTTTTTGTTCGTCTTTGTATACCGTATAATGGACAACGATTAATGTAATATTCTATTAATGTCTTTTTCTATAAACAAAGTGTTTATTATGTCAACCAATATAATATTTTCTAACGATATTACAGCTAACTACCTTGTCAATATCGTTGTCATTAATAGTTGTTGTAGTTGTTTGTTGTTGTTGTCAATTATTGGTTATAATATGTTTCTTTGATAGTGTATTTCTTGTAATTTCTTACACGTTTGCAGTTAAATTAAAGATCAAAAGTTTCCTTGTTGTCGTTCTTTATTGTTTGAGTAACAGCAAATGCTATAAAACGAGCGATGAGACTCGACAAAAACACCGATCTGTACAAAATCAAAGATTAAATAAAATATTATTAACAAACTATTCCGACAATGGAAGGTTCTCTTGTATATCTGCCAGATGATGCTATGGAATTGGGTAATGATGAAGAGGATAGTAATGATGATGAACTTTTTACTACAATTGAAGAAAGTCTTAAGGAAGCAAGGGATATAATGATTGAACAGCATGAACGAAGAAACTTTAAATTTCTTAGAGCAGTAGCACATATTTCAAAAAAGTTGAAATATTTGTCAATGACGTAAAAGCGTATAGAAATCGCTTGACTAATCCTCGAACATGGAAAGATTATACTACAAATACAAGATATTTAGAGTAATCACATATACATTGTATAATAATGAGCTCTATATCATTTACCTGCAACTATAGATTGTTACTGTTTACCGTTACTGTCCTTATACTATAAGATATATTGTTATCCGCTCATAATAATAATAACGATAATAAAATATAATAAATAAATAAATAAATAAAGTAATGCCCCTTAGTGCTTTCCTTTTTTAGATACGATCAAGCTAAATTTTGCACTCCATCGGACACAAGCATAGTGAACCTTTTTATTGGCCAGATGTCATGTGAGCGCAACAGATCTTGGGCGGCTACTGGGGTAGTTGGATATCATAGGGGGTGATGACGTCATCTGTAATATGGTATGCGATACTCATGTTTATAATAAAAACCCCATATTAACATATAATTATTAAACTAAATCAGTTTGTTCACCTCTTATGA